CTAGTTATATTTTTTTAGACGGATGGGAGATACGTTAATCGGTTATCCCGCTCGAGAGGAGTCCGGCATTAACCCTTTAATTCTAACAATTTCAAGTGAAAAGTGCGAGGGGGTTTTTAATTGAAGAGTTTGTGCGCAAAGGGAACAAACAACCGATGAAACAAAAAAGAAATGATTCGTTTTCTAGCTTTCCTTAGTGCCCCTATAATAATTTTATAGTTATTCTTCCTACTATTAAAAGAATTCTAATTTTTCTAGCTTTTATTTTCAACCGTCAAATACTTTCGGTATGGCATACTTTTTGCAATGCTTTTTTAATATTTGGTTCCTATTAGAAGAATTGTTTACAATGTACATTTTTATTGAATGTTACAAGTAATCAAATTGAGTTAAATATGTTATAATACAAGTGTTCCCGTAGTTTGGCGTTTAAGAGTTAACATTCAGATTTCAGATCATTTTTGTGGTTTTTTTTTTGTTTACGTTAAAGTAACTTAAAATCAAGGGAAACAACTTCAAATAAGAAATCCTTATATTATAGATAAATTCTCCATTAACTCATTAGACTCGGGCTATGGAGAGAGCATTAACGTAGGGATTATTAGCAAATAACGCGCGAGTACTTTCGACCAGCTTAAATTAACGTCTCTATTACAAAGGAATTAATTCGTGACTACCAATTATCCGCACGTATTTTCCATTTTCCTTTCGATGTAATATTACGCGCATAATCATTACGCGCATATTTATAGCCAGGGCAAAGCAGCGACGCGGCAATTAACATCGAGGTCGTCGGTGGAATTTTCGACGGTGCTTGGGTTAATTATTCCGCGGCAATTTAGCCGGTAACGAGCCGGCGCAGCGGTGGCGGCGGCGGCAATTGGGTGCCTGGCAGAATGATTGTAGCGACGTGCCCGCCCCGATCATTTACATCGTAGCAGCAAACGTAATACTACTCGACTCCGTCCCTAGAATTTGCTCTGCGGTCTGACTGCTCATGTGGCGGCGGTGGTGGGTGACCCCTCGTC